TTTTGGTATTCTCTTAAATGAGTTCCTTATGTATTTTGGATATCAACTCCTCATTGGATATATCATTGCAAATATATTCTCCCATTCAGTAGATTTTTGTTTTGTTTTCTTGAAGCTTCCCTTTATTCTATTCCCTTTTTTAATTTGATGAAGCCCTATTTGTTTATTTTTGCTTTTGTTTCCCTTGCTCAAGGGGACATATTCACATTCTCCCTAAATGAAACCAGCTTTGCAGGGGCACCACGTTGGTGTTACTCAGACTTATTACCCTATGTTTTCTTCTAGGACAGCGGTTCTCAACCTGTGGGTCACGACCCCTTTGGGGGTTGAACGACCCTTTCACAGGGGTCGCCTAAGACCATCGGAAAACACATATATAATTACATATTGTTTTTGTCATTAATCACTATGCTTTAATTATGTTCAATTTGTAACAATGAAAATACAGTCCTGCACAGCAGATATTTACATTATGATTCATAACAGTAGCAAAATTACAGTTATGAAGTAGCAACAAAAATAATTTTATGATTGGGGGTCACCACAACATGAGGAACTGTATTAAAGGGTCGCGGCATTAGGAAGGTTGAGAACCACTGCTTTAAGGAAAGATGAGCAGCAGTACAGTCACAGTAGGGGACTTTAACCACCCCACTGACTTCACTGGATAGAACTTCCAGACAAAAAATTAACAAGGAAACAGTGACTCTAAATGACATACTGGGTCAAATGGATTTAATTGACATTTATAGAACATTTCACCCCAGAGCTGCAGAATATACATTCTTCTCAAGTGCCCATGGGTCTTAATTTTTACATTTAAATATTTAATCCATATTGAGTTTATTATTGTATATGATATAAGAAAGTGCTCCAATTTCATTTTTTGGCATGCATTTGCTTAGTTTTCCCAGCACCACTTTTTGAAGAGATTGGCATTTCTCTTTTATATATTGTCACCTTTGTCATCGATTGACCATATAAACAGGATTTTATTTCTGGGTTCTCTATTCTGTTCCATTGATCTATGTATATGTGCCAGTGCCATAGTGTTTTGATTGTCATAGCTTTGTAGTATAGTTTGAAATCAGGGAGTGTAATACCTCTAACTTTGTTTTTACCCCCTCAAGATTGTTTTAGCTATTTGTATACTTTTGTGATTCCATATACATTTTAGGATTATTTTTGTTCTAGTTCTGAGAAGAATGCCACTGGTATTTTGATAAAGATTGCATTAAGTCTATAGATAGCTTTGGATATTATGGTCATTTTAAAAATGTTAATCCTTCTAGTCCATAGTATGGTATATCCTCTCATTTATTTGTATTCTCTTCTATTTTTTTGTCAGTGTCTCTTAGTTTTCAGAGTACAAGTCTTTTCACCTGTTTTGTTAAATTTAGTCCTAGTTGTGCCCTAACCGGTTTGGCTCAGTGGATAGAACGTCGGCCTGCGGACTGAACTGTCCCAGGTTCGATTCTGGCCAAGGGCATGTACCTTGGTTGCGGGCACATCCCCAGTGGGAGGTGTGCAGGAGGCAGCTGATTGATGTTTCTAACTCTCTATCCCTCTCCCTCTCTGTAAAAAATCAATAAAATATATTTTAAAAAATTTAGTCCTAGTTGCTTTATTCTTTTTGATGCAATTATAAATTGGATTATTTTATTTCTCCTTCTGATTATTGTTAGTGTATAGAAACACAGTGGATTTCTGTATATTTTGTGTTCTGCAACTTTACTGAATTCACTTATTCTATTAAATTTTTAATGTATTCTTTAGGGGTTTTTATATAGAGTATCATGTTATCTGCATATAGTGACAGTTTTACTTCTTCCCTTCCCAGTGGATGCCTTTTATTTCTTTATTGAATAATTGAGTAATTGTCGTTAGTATGGACAGCTTGTCTTGTTCCTGCTCTTAGAGTGTGAGTATGATGCTGTCATATATAGCCTTTATTTTGTTGAGGTAAGTATCTTCTACCCACTTCGTTGAGAGTCTTTATCATAAATGGATGTTGAATTGTATGATTTTTGTTCTTGGTTTTGTGGATGAGATGAATAACATTAATTATTTTGTGGATGTTGAACCATCCTTGTATATCTGGTATAAATCCCACCTGGTCGTGTTATATAATCCTTTTAATGCGTTGTTGAATTCAGTTTAATAGTATTTTGTTGAAATTTTTTGCCTCTATCTTCATCAGGAATATTGGCCTGTAATTCTCCTTTTTTGTGGTGTCTTTGATTTTGGATAATGCTGACATTGTAAAGTGAGTTTAGAAGCATTCCTTTCTCTTCAGTTTTTTGGAATAGTTTGAGAAAGATAAAGTATTAATTTTTAAAATATTTCATAGAATTTACCTATGAAGCCATCTGGGCTTTTGTTTGTTGGGAGTTTTTTGTTTTTTAAATATATTTTTATTGATTTCATAGAGGAAGGGAGAGAGAGAGAGAAACATTAATGATGAAAGAGAATCACCCTATACTGCCTGCTGCACGCTCCCACTGGGGATTGAGCCCGTATCCCTTACTTTTTATTTGTCTGGGAAACTCTTTATCTTTCCTTCAATTCTCAATGATAAACTGTCAGATATAGTAGTCTAGGTTGTAGGTTCCTCTCTCTCAACACTTTATTTCCTGCTACTTCCTTCTGGCTTATAGAATTGCTGCTGAGAAATCAGTTGATATCCTATGGGGTTTCCCTTGTATGTGACTTGTTTGTTCACTCGTGCTGCCTTTAAGATTGACTCTTTATCCTTAAATTTTACCATTTTCATTATAATGTGTCTTGGTGTGGGCCTCTTTGGCTTCATCTTGTTTGGAACTCTGCTTTTTAGACCAGGATGTCTGTTTCCTTCATCAGGTTAGGAAAGTTTTTCAGCCATTATTTCTTCACATATACTTTCTGCCTCTTTCTGTCTCTTCTCCTGGAATTGCTATAATGTGAATTTCAGAGTGTTTGATATATGTTATCACAGAGGTCCCTTATACTCTAAAATTTTTATTTTTTCATTTTGCTGTTGTGATTGGGTGATTTCTACCATTCTGTCTTCCAAGTCACTAATCTTTTAATTTGTATTAACAATATTGCTGTTGATTCCTTCTAATGTATTATTCATTTCAGTTATGTTATTCTTCGTCTCTAATTGATTCTTTGTTACATTTTCTAACTTTTTGAAATGCTCTCTAGTTCCAGTTGTCGATTGTTGAGCATTCTTATGACCATTTCTTTCAATTCTATGTCAGGCAAATTACTTATCTCTGTTTCACTAGTGTTTTGTTAAATGGGTTTTTTCCCTGTTCATTCAGGGTATGTTCTCTGTCTCCCTGTTTTGTTTTACTTTCTGGGTTTATGCCTATGAATTAGATAAAGTAGCTTTCTCTCTCAATCTTGAAAAGTAGCCTCAGTGTAGACTGTATACCAGATGGTTTTGGCAGGCTGGTTGTAGTGGGGGGGTGTGGTGCCTCATGGTGCGGCCTGGCCAGGAGTGGGTTTAGGGCGGGCTGTCTGGTATGGGCCTGTATTGTTTTGTCTGTAGCCCGATTGGGTCTGGGCAGGGCTGCTCTGAGTGAGTGTATCAGATTGTCCTACTAGCTTCAAGCTTTCTCTGGATGGAGCAGTCCCATGTGTGCCGCAGTGCCCACTTGTACCATAAGTCTTTGCTACCTGCACACTTTCTCCCAGTGGGGCAACCACATATGCATGAGCAGCAGCGCCCCACTGTCTCTGCAGTTTCTTTGGACAGGCAGCAGGTACCACAGCATTTTGCTAGCTCTGCACTCTCTCTGCCATACCCGCTGGCTCAATCTGGGTAGTGGGCCCTTGTATGAATGCTCCATTGCCCTCCTGTTGTGCTGGAGCTAGCTCTGGGAGAGCTTGCTGGGTACCTGCCAAGACAGCCGTGCAGGTTGGCCAGAGAACCTGGGTAGAGTTCCCACCTGCTGTCCACGTGCAAGGGAAAGTAAACAATGGCTCTCACAGCTTCTCTGTTCCTGGAGGGTTCCTGCAACTTCTGAAAAGCTCTTGTGTTTCCCCAACCTTCTCCACGTGGTCTTGGTTGGTTGTGGTGCAGAAGCTGTTCTGTTGTCTCTCAGGAGGAATTGCCCTAAATATAGGTGTACATTGGATGTGTTCTTGGGAGGGGCAAGCTCAGCATCCTCCTATGCCACCATTTTGGATCTGCTTCTCTGTCTACATACTTTGAATGAACAAATAGGACAACTTACATTAATGGCTTTCAGTTGGGGGATATTTTGCTCCAGAGGACATTTGGCCATGGTTGCTAAGCACCCTGTGATGCACTGAACTGCCCCTACCACAAAGAATTAGCCCAAAATGTCAATGGTGCCACTGCTAAGAAACCCTAGCTGAAATTGAGAGAGCTGGGCCCTGGTCGAGTAGCTCAGTTGGTTAGAGTGTCATCCGAAATGCCAAGGTTGCAGGGTTCCATCCTTGGTCATGACACATACAAGAATCAGCCAATGTGCATAAATAAGTGAACATCAAATCAATGTATCACTGTCTCTCAAATCAATAAATAAAAACAATTTTTTGAGAGAGTCCTTCTGTAAATACTAATGCCATCAGAAAAAGAATACTTTGTCCTACCTTTTAGAAAAGAGGCTATATAGAAACTGGCAATTTAGAGATTCGGATGGGTATATTGGCATAACATTCTCAAATAATTTTACACTTTTTAAAATAGGAAAATTTGCCCTAATCGGTTTGGCTCAGTGGATAGAGCGTCGGCCTGCGGACTCAAGGGTCCCAGGTTCGATTCCGGTCAAGGGCATGTACCTTGGTTGCGGGCACATCCCCAGTTGGGGGTGTGCAGGAGGCAGCTGATCAATGTTTCTCTCTCATTGATGTTTCTAACTCTCTATCCTTCTCCCTTCCTCTCTGTAAAAATTCAATAAAATATATTTAAAAAATAAAAATAAAAATAAAATAAAATAAAATAGGAAAATTCAAATACAGGGTTACTGGTTTTCCTTATTTTACAGATGGGGCCGAGGATTTGGTCTTTTGGGTTCCATTTTTGGAAAGGATGGAGCATTAAACCAGCCAAACAGTGTCTTTGGACTTATATTTTATATACTACAGTTATTACTTGGTAAGTATTATACAGCAATACAAAAATAAGTTTTTTATTATATTCCACTTAGTACTTTGTGTCTTTGCTCTGATGTGTGTGTCTTTATCTTAAATAAAAGCATATGTTAATGATAGAACTATAGTTTGTTTTACAATTTTGTTTTGTGAGACTTGGTTCACTATGATTTTGATGAAGCTAATGCTGAACTTGGTATCTGTTGGTATTTAGTCAGGGATAGTGACATTCCATGATGTCAGTAAAAACTAGTACTATTTAGAGAAATTATTACTCCAGCCTTCCCTCTAAACCTTTCTCCTTACTAGTTTATATACTTCTTAGCTACTTTTAAATCTATGCTTTGGGAAAACATTGATGGTTAATGATATTCATAATTCCACCACCTTACCCACTATTTTCCATTGTCTTCTGATTTTTTCACTTATTTTTATACAAACTCTTATATTGTCTACCCTCTTAAATGTTTTGTTATTGTTGACATCAGGTTTCAAAGTTTTTATGTCTAAATAACACAGATCAACTTTAAGTCCCATTCCCCCTGCCTTCCCTCCCCACCCCACCCCCGCCACACACACACACACACACACACACACACACTACCTTCCTTCTTTGAATTGTTTCCATGGATAAATTTCCAAATGTGGGATGAATGAGTCAAAAACAAGATTTTTAAATGGAGTTTAATAGGTATAACAAACTGCTTTTCCCTCAATTGTCAGGTTTCCCAGAAGCTCCATCATCTTCATTTTAAGAAACTGTTTTCTGTAAAATACCTAACATAAGTTACATATTAGTAGCTATTATTTTTATTTTACTATATTTTAACTTTCTTTTATTTTCAATTTAGTTATTGGGATCCTGATTATAGCCCATTTTCATAGTTGTTACAAATATTTAACCTGTTCTTTATCCTTTTTTATCTTAGCTTTGTGAATTTTGATTGTATAAAAGTGTTCATACTTTTAAAGTTAAATTCCTTTATTTTTGCCTTTGCATTTCAATTGTTATTATTTCATCCTATTATCTGCCAGCTCTTCTGTGCTCTTCTAACTGAAGTTGATTTGTTATGAGGCAAATTGTGAATCTAAAGTTTTCTCAATGTCCTAGTAAGTTTTTCAATTCCATATTTATATATCCTGTAGAAATAGAAAAACATGCACAAGAATATTCATTGCTGCCCTAACAGGTTTGGCTCAGTGGATAGAGTGTCAGCCTGCAGATTCAAGGGTCCCAGGTTTGATTCCGGTCAGGGGCATGTACCTTGGTTGCGGGCACATCCCCAGTGGGGAGGGTGGGGGGTGCAGGAGGCAGCTGATCGATGTTTCTCTCTCATCAATGCTTCTAACTCTCTATCCTTTCCCTTCCTCTCTGTAAAAAAAATCAATAAAATATATTTTTTAAAAAAGAATATTCATTGCAGTATAGTTTAAAATAGCAAAGAATTGGAAGCAGCTTAGCAAAACATAATGGTTGAATAAATTAAGTTACATCCATACTAGAAAAGTGTAACAATTAAAAGAGAAAGTAGGTCTGTATGTGAAAAGATAAAGGCATAGTTTAGTGAAAAAGCAAATTGGTATAATGTTTACACACACACACACACACACACACACACACACACACACACACACACGTACATGCATAAGGGTCAGGGGTGAGACTTTGACTTTTTATTCCATTTATTGGCTTTGTTTGGATTTCTAAGCCCAAATTAAAATAGCCTAAGAAATGTTTTTGGAGAAAGAGGTGGAACACATTTCTATTTATTATATTTAATGTCATTATGTATAGATATTTCAAATCATGTATTATATGTATTTTTTTCTATTCACATTTTATGTTTGTTTGTTTGTTTAATCCTCACCCAAGGATATTTTTCCCATTGATTTTTAGTGAGAGTGGAAGGGGAGGAATGGAAGGGGAGGAGGGAAAGAGAGGGGGAGGGAGGGAGAGAGACATATCCATGTAAAAGACACAATGATTTGTTGCCTCTCGCACACACCCCAACCAGGGCCTGGGAACGAACCTGTAACACAGGTAAATGCCCTTGACCAGGAATCAAACCTGCCACGTTATGGTGCGGGACCGACACTAACCATTGAGCACCACTGGCCAGGACAACATTTTATGCATTTTAAATGTCAGGGTCTTTACCATTGGAGGCACATTTGAACTCATCTACAGTTTCCAGAGCACATCATTTTCACTTCTAAATTGTTTGAGATACAACATTTTAAATTTAATTTATTCATAGGCAATCACATGGTTCAAAAGCTTTTTTAAAAATGTATAAAATTCTATACAGTGAAAAGTCTGTCCCACCCTTTCCCCCTCTGCCCACTTCCCACTTCCTCTCATCCCTGACTGGTAGCTTCTTGTTGCGGTTGTTAGAGAATTTCTTTAGGCATATGGTGCAAGAAAATACAGATATATAATCTTAATTTTCTTTTTAAAAGGCAAATGCTATACACACTGTTTTACATACTTTTTGTTTTGCTTGACTGACATATCATGGTGATCTTTCCATAGCAGAACATTAAATCTTCATTGTTTTTCACAGCTGCAGAATACTCCATTGCTTGATTGTACAATCCTCTATTTAGAGTTACAGCACATTTTAATTCCACCGGGAGTTTATCCCAAACCACCGTTACATTACATTAGAACAAGCTTGATACAATAGTTATTTAATAGCTAGTGTTTATAACGAATTCTAAGTATTTATACTTATTAGCTCTTTTATCCCAATTTTACAGGTAAGGAAACGATTAGCATGGAGAAAATAACTTGTCCACGTTATTTGAAACTAACTTCCTTAGGTTAAAATTAAGTGGCAGCATAATTTTTGAAGTTTTAGATGTTTAGCATAGATGAGATACCAAACTCTTTTAGCATAGAGCTGGAAGAAAATAATTGAGGTGCCTGGCCCATGTGGCTCAGTGGTTGAGCATTGACCCATGAACCAGGAGATCCTGAAATGATTCTCAGAGAGCTATGGCTGGATTGCAGGTTTGATCCCCAGTAGGGGATGTGCAGGAGGCAGCCAATTGATGATTCTCTCTCATCATTGATGTTTTTCTCTCTCTCTCCTTCTCCCTTCTTCCCTCTGAAATAAATAAAAACATTAAAAAAGAAAATAATTGAGGCTTTGCTAACTGTCACAACTACTCAACTCAGCCACTGTAGTGTGAAAGCAGCAATAGGCATTACATAAATCAATTAGTATAGTTGGGTTCCAGTAAATCTTTATTTACAAAATCCAGTGGCCAGTCAGATTTGCTAGTCCCTGGCATAAATAATCCAATAGCATCTTGGTCCTGAAAGCTTCCCTTATTTTATTTTTTTAAGATATATTTCTATTAATTTCAGGGAGGAAAGTAGAAAGAGAGATCAAAACATCAATGATGAGAGAATCATTGATTGGCTGCCTCCTGAACACCCGAGCATGTGCCTTTGACTGGAATCAAACTGGGGACCCTTCAGTCTGCAGGCTAACTCTCTATCCACTGAGCCAAGCCAGCTAGGGCTAGCTTCCCCTTAAAAAGAAAAAAAAATGCCTACCCAAGGATTGTTTATTGATTTTAGAGAGAAAGATTGAACTGTTGCCTCCCGTATATGCTCTGACCAGGGATTGAACTTACAACCTTTTTGGTATATGTGACAATGCTCCAAATATATATATTTGCATATAAAATCAATATATATATTATTGATTTTAGAGAAACACTGATTGGCTGCTTCTCGTGCACCCACCCCGACTGGGGATTGAGCCTGCAACCTGGGCATGTACCCTGACCAGGAATCTACCCGGCGACCTTTCAGTGCACAGGACAATGCTCAACCAACTGAACCACCCGGCCAGGGCTTGAAGAGTACTAACTGGTGGCATGGGCAAGTCAGGCCCCATTTTAGTACTAACTGGTGGCATGGGCAAGTCAGGCCCCTGTGGCTAGGCTGCGTTCCACAGGCCACTTCTCTTTAACAGGCAGCATGGATTTTAGCTCCTTAACTAACTTCTTCAAACCTACCACCACTTTTTTTGTTTTTTCTGTTTCTGTTATTCTGACTCATTAGTTGTTGGGTAAGAGGGTAGTTTAAGCCCTAGCTGGTTTGGCTCAGTGGATAGAGCGTCGGCCTGCGGACTGAAGGGTCCCGGGTTCAATTCCGGTCAAGGGCATGTACCTTGGTTGTGGGCACATCCCCAGTAGGGGGTGTGCAAGAGGCAACTGAATTGATGTTTCTCTCTCATTAATATTTCTAACTCTCTATCCCTCTCCCTTTCTCTCTGTAAATAATCAATAAAATATATTTAAAAAAAAAAAAGAGGGTAGTTTAATATTCTGTGCTATTTCTTTAAAAATAAATGCATATGTTCTCAGTACTGTTGGATACAGGAAATTACAAAATAGTACATGTAAAGATGTCCGATGGCATCAAGAATTCAGGCAAGGTTTTGTCAGGAGGGCCCCAGCCTAGCACACATAACTGCCTTTTTTCTTGATCTGGTTTGACCCACATGTGGTCAACTGGCCAAATGTGGTTTCCTTATCTTCCGGGTTGAGCTTTTTCTGCATGTTTTATTTTTTTCCTTCTTCAGCATGCTGGTGTAATCATCTCCCATTATGGATTTTTTATAAATTTGGTCTAAACATGGGAAAGCAAATTTTATTTCCCACATATGAGGAGCCTGTAGTGAGAAGGCCAGGGAAAATGTGTCCTGCTAGGAAGACAGGTTGTGGTCCTAAGGTTGCCTTATTCATTAAGAAAGGTGGCACTGTGGTTTCACGTGTCAGCTTCATTGCATGTGATTGCAAGATTACATATTTTCTTTGTGTGCCATAACTAAGGCTTATTTATGAAATAGTAACATGTCATCTAGAACAGCGGTCGCCAACCGGCAGTCCACTGGTGGTCTGTGAGGTCCAAAAGGTTGGCAACCGCTGATCTAGAATATTGACAAGTCAAAAACATTGCAGCTATAAAACTGCTATCATGTTATGCAAAGTCAACCTGCATGATCTTAACAAAATAGGCTGGTAGTGTTCTCAAATTTCATAGTGTTTTTCTGTAAGATCAATATTTTCAACAGTAGCAAATCACAAAAGATTACCTTTTAACTCAGAACCTTTCTCTCCATTGTCAAGGTCTGATTGAGCCAAGGGTCTCTCTCTCTTGCAGGCATGACAGCAAGTGCAGTTGCAGCTTTAATCCTCATGACATCCTCCATCGTGTCTGTAGTAGGGTCTTTGTACCTGGCCTACATTCTGTACTTTGTGCTGAAGGAGTTTTGCATCATCTGCGTCATCACATACGTGCTGAACTTCATTCTTCTTATCATCAATTACAAACGACTAGTTTACTTGAACGAGGCCTGGAAACGGCAACTGCAGCCCAAGCAGGACTGACAGCCTGATGAACTCTTACCTGACAGTCCCAAGTCCCTTTTTCCATTAAGTTAATTTCGCAGCATTTTTTTTATTCTTCACAACAGACACTTTCCCTAAGAATCTTAAACTGATTTTTTAAAATCTTGTAAATTAGAAGGGTATTTTCTGTGTCAATCTTCATTTTAAATATGGATACAAAAAAAAGCATACGCCGAGCCAATCAAAGACAAGCTTTAACTTTACTTTGAAGATGTTTCTGAAATAATTAAATGTAGCCCTCCGTTGTAAAGTGAGCAACCATTGCTAATAACTCTACAATGTGTATAAATTCAATTTCAGGTATAACAGATGTGATCATGACATGAAAATATTTTAGAATAGATACTGTATTAAGTATTGCCATGTTTACAATATGTAATATGTTTTTAGCCAATGGATTTAAACATGTAGATTCAACTAGAATTCATTTCTGTGATATTTGTAAATAAAGGTAGAAATATTGGATCCATCCCTGCAGAACTTGCTGTACAGTTGAGTTGAAGTGTAACAACGAAGAGTTGTCAGCTCAACACTGACTGAAGAAAAAGTGAAAATAGTTAAGTGCATACAGAGTCTTGTGAAAAGTACTGAGAGCTGTGGGTCCAGGATTGACAGCAAAAATAATAGGGTAGTTGGTTCCCTTTTATCTCCTTCCTCTTCAAGGAAGAAATTCCTTGGACATTCAAGTCAAACTTGTGTCTAGTCATAAAACTGGATCAGTTCTACCTTACAGAGTGAGTCATGTGACCAAACCATCAAGTCCAAGGCCTTCAGGACACTAAAGATGGGGAAATGGGTACATTTCTTTGGAGAAAAGCTGGAAATATATGGAATTTTAAGGTAAAGCCTCTTACAACAGTAGAATTTTATTTAGATCTTTTTCCTTAACATTGGTGCCAAACAAACAGTATTATGGCTTTGAAATAATCCGTATAAGCCCAGTCGTTCCAGAGTAGGATTGCTCTTGGGCAGCTCTGTGTGTTTCCTGTTCCTTTCTGCACTAACTAATCGGATTTCTAACTTAATTGTTTTAGAGTAAAATATTGGATATGTAAACTTTAGGGCTGATATGCTGCTCAGTTTGCTTAATCGGGAGGACTTCAGGTAGAAATACCTGAAGGTGAAATACTAATGTTGTCACTACTCTTTCTAATAACTATACAAGGGCAGAATTTTTTAAAGTGATTTGAATAAACCCAAATAAAATTGTGACAGTATGCTTCTAAGGTTAACATATCGAAATGTTAAAAGTGCCTTCTGTCTTAAATCGCAAACCAAATATTTTCTGTTGAACTTGGGCAGAAGTGTCCTTCCTTCCTTTCTTAGCATGAAGTAGATAACTTGCATTCAATATACAGGTTCTGTATGATCAATTTAGTCCTTAGATTGAGAATTAGTAGCAATAATTTTGCTTTCAATTTGATTAATCATTATATTAAAAATAGACCGGTAATTTAAGTGCTGTATTTGCCTTTTTGAAGGAGGGGACAGGCTCTGCTCTGTAAACGTATGTGTAGAGTCAGCAACTGTTTCCAACTAACTGTCATAATTGATGCAATGTATTCTTCTGGTCCAAGGCAGGTATAAAATCTGAATTGTAATGAACTATTGAATTTAAACCAGTTTTGTAAAAAGAGAGCTTAATTCAGATTTCATCCAGGCTGATGTTTTCCCATGAATGTGAATATTTCAATGCCTGTTTTATTATGTATGTATTGTTCTTATTTCTGTAGTTAAAGAACTCTAGAAAGCATTGATTAGATGCCTCGTGTGGATGGAGAAACAAGTCCTGATATTGAAATGAACTGTACAATGAGGTCGCGTCACAGTGCTTCCAGTTCTACGAGCCGTTTACTGCTTCTCTTTTCCCAGCTACAGTGGCAATGGCTCAACGGTTAAGACTTCTGTGGTATATACAACACTGGTCGTGCTAAAGTTCCTCGTGTCCCAATTTAAAATGTGGTGGGGTTTTTTACCGTCATATTTTGTATTAATCAGCAGAGTATAGTTAAAGCTTGTCTTGATATTGCCCTCTTGAAAATATTTGTCTTCAACTCAAAGAGAAAATGTAAAAATGTTCAGCCAGACCCTTCAAGTTTTTCCTTCGTTGTCCTAAGCCTGGGGGGAAACACCACTGGTTCAGTTGTATTAAAAAATGGCCACATTCCTATGACCCAGAACTAATCACCTTTTTCTCACTGAGCGATACACACGTGCTGCCTGTACTACAGCTCATAATGCCTGCCGACACCTCAGTAAGCAGCAGGGCCCTGCTGGGTGCTATTGGGTACTTGTGCCCTGGAAGAGTGTGGGCTCCCTCTACATCCTCTATGTCACCCCGGAAGAGGCGGAAGATACCATGTTTTAAAATTCCAGTATTGTTATGACTATTTTAAAATTATTAGCCACCAACATTGAAGAACAGATTAGAGGAAAAAACTGAATTCCTGTTTTTGGTTTCTTGATTTTTGAAATGATTTGTAAATGCAGCCTCTTATTAACTTGACAGTCACATCATTTGAAGAAATAAGAGAAGAAGTGGTTAGATGATACATTTTAGGGAAGCTAGGTGGTTTGGAGAACCTCATTTGGTGTTTCATTACAGCTAGGTGCTGTCACTAAGGGTAAACTTATGGTGAAATGACTCAGGTTTAACTAGCTGTGTGCCAGGGATTACTTTTACTTGATGTATGTAGCCTCTCCTGAAATCCATTACTTTTAAAGAGGTGAAAGCAGTGACTATTTGCATTCTCAGCAACAAAGATCTTTTGGCACAAAGTTCTTTGGACCAATGAGGTAGGATAGAGGACCAAGACTATAGTGAAATGAAAATGATTTGTTGCCTTTAGTTTGCTTATATTTCCTTTTAAGACTATCAGCAAAAGTGCAAGGTTACCTTCAGCACTTCATAACTTAGATTGGTATCTCTACCTGACACCAGGGAATGCTGACAGATCTTGAAAATCAGTATTAAACAGATGCCAATAAGAAACCCACTACCTTTTTTGGTAACCTATTTGGGAAGGAGCACCTAATATGCAAACACTGGAAAAATCTCTCGCTACTCAGACATGTTAGGCAGCACTATGACTCCTCATCTGTGAGAACTACCCTTCAATAAAAAAGGGGTGTGGTGTGGTGTGGTGGGAGCCCAGGCCACTTGGGTAAACATGTTTTTGACAAATTAGCCCAGAAAAGATGAAATGTTTTCTTATAAAACTATTAAGCATGGCCGAAGTATGAGGTATATGATCTGTATAGTATGTCCCATCAAAAATATTTATTACTAGTGCTTTAAACTCCAGAGTAAACATTCATTTAAAATGGAGTTCACTGGGCAGATATCCCCTTTAATATTAGATAGGAATATTCTTTATCAGAGATTTAGGACAGTTTTGTTAACTGGTAAAAAAAAAAATGTAAATATGTAAGAATGTTTATTTGTTGCACATAACTCTTTTGGTATAAAATAAATGTAGAAGTTACCTGTGGAAGTTGTGCTGCCATCATTCTTATGCTGCAGTATTACAGGTCAAAAAAGAAGCAGAAACGAATCCACTCATAAACTACTCTTAAAGTAACCTCATACTGGAACCTCACATGTACAGGTGTACTGAGTTGATTTTTTCTCTCTTAAATGATATGTAACTTACAGAATATACAAGCAGAATTCTTAGAGATTCTAGTTCCTAGAATGTCTGTAGGTTTATAATTTATGTGGTTAAGAATGAATAAGGTGTTACAGCCAAGTGGTAGTTCTTGCTTTACCAGGTAAACCGGCTCTTTCCCAGATACTATGGCTTCTCAGCTGGTGGGCGTACCCTGTTTCATTAGCAAGTTCCAGAAGCACAAAGAGTGTATGAGCCAACTGTTTTCCCACTGCTCTACTTTAGTTCACTTTGAATACTCCATTTTTACAATTATCTAAAAGTCACATCTGCAAGAAAGACGAATCAATTTGAAATACAGTTTAGCCATATTTTATTGACTAGGACAGTGGTCAGCAAACCGCGGCTCTTTGGCTCTTCCACAAAATACCGACTTCTGCGCACGGGCCACGAAGTTTCAATCGCACTGTACATGTGCGCCCGCACGTGGTATTTTGTGGAAGAGCCACACTCAAGGGGCCAAAGAGCCGCATGTGGCTTGCGAGCCGCGGTTTGCTGACCGTGGGTCACTAGAACAAATGCGTTCTGTGCTAGAACCTTAGGACTTAAGAAATGGGCCTGACAGACACATCATTTGTGTTGATCATTAAAATGTTCTTTGTGATACATTCCCTCTACATGAAAGGCAGTGTGGGAATTATAGTCTGAAAACCAGAACCATCTTTTCAAAATGTACCCGTTTCCTTTGACCCAATTTGGATATTCACTTCAGAAAATACAAAATAAAGGATGACTAAAAGCCTCAAAGTAAAATGAGCCTTAAAACTCTGATTAGAAGTGATGGTGATAAGGCATCAAAAGTGAATGGGACACCTAGCTTGGGAAGATAAAAATACTTTGGTCCAAGAATTGAAGTACATCAAGAATTTACCTAAATGTAATGATCTGCCTGCAGGAAAACAAAAAATGGCATGCCCTATCTGTAATTTGGAGGCATCCTTGAATGAAAATAATGTTCTACCAGGTGTATGAGGAAGTGGACACTAAACAATAGGAATAACATGGGGAGAATTTGCAGTGACTGGCAGTGCTAAAGGACAAAAGTAAAAGGGTAATGGTCTGTTTTGGCTTTTAGAAAACAAAAAGATTTAAAGATCTAATTCATTACTTTGCCGTTGTTTTTGTTAAGGACAGAAAAATCCCTGATAAGCAGCAAATATCAGGTTTGCAATTTTATTCCTTTGGTACAAAACGGTGGAATACCAGGCTGGCAAAGCAGCCAGGCATTCATTTACGATTAAACGTTTTTTACCAAGAAGGCACTGTGCTGGGTATTGTAACCCCACCATCACGAGGCAGGTATTTCTTCCGCTGCAAATGACTGGGGGTTCGGTACAAAGCTGTTTTATGTGTTAGCCTCTTGCCCCGATCTGAGCAGTCCTGGGGGAGGTCACCCCTGAAATTCCAGAGCCATAATTTTCTACCAGGGTGTTATATTTGAGGGGAAGAAAGATGGAGATCAAAGTTAGCCACCGCGCTAGTGTTGTTAAAAAAACAACAAAAAACCTCGACAGGATGGAGCAATGTCCTGGAAGTGCTGGTTACCTCTGAGCTCCCTTCCAATTCTGACATTCCTTAACTCTTACCTGTGGCAACTAGTACGCATGTTCATTATTCCAGCATATCACTTGCTATAAATCTGTCAGGATTGCAGCTCACCTGTGGAGTTTTACAGGGTGAGCAGGGCGGCCCTAAGGCAGGGGAGCTACTCCTGCGAAGCAGTCTGTAACCAACAACTCTGAACTTGTGTGAGTGTTGAAGCGAAGGTTTCTCAAAAGTCTATACCCAGTTAAGGCTACGTAAACAGCTTGACACAAAAATAACTTCAGATGCTTTTCAGCGGTACAGATCATCTTCAATTTATGGAATAGTCACTTCTGAGCCAACTCTAAATTCCAGTATTACAAAATCCTTTATTTTCACTTCTAATGTTCCCTTCTAGCAAATGACTACAAAATCCAGACCAGAAACTCTCCTGTCTGCCACACACAGGCCAGGAGGCACTTTGTCTGTCGGCGGTAGCCACTGCCCTCACCTGGGAAGGAGGGGCTGACAGCTGGTGTCAGCCAAGAGAGAGTTCTTGCTTTACCAGGTAAACGGGCTCTTTACCAGATACGGTGGCTTCCCAGCTGCCGGGTGGTACCCAGTCTCGTTGGCAAGTTTCCAGTATCTCTCTCGCAAGAGGAATGCTGCACCTTTTGGTTGTCTCTGGCGAGTGAAGATCCCCTTTTTATTTCCTATTACTCTCTGCGGTGCTAAAAACAAGCAAGAGATGATTCAGATGACTCCAATGGGCCAAGCTGGAGCCCAACTGGGCACTAAGAAATAGTCTTATAGCTCAGGGTTGTTTGGTCTGATGTGGCCTCTTAATGGGCTAGAGATTTACTACTGCTCCCCAAAATACCTTAGCTCACCGGTGTCAATTTTTCATCTGTTAGGGGAAACTATCCAAAATGGTTTATCTTTTACTTGCAAACTAAGGTCTAAAACATTAAGGTACCCAGCTGCCTGGAAACTGGAGGGAGCTGAGATGAAAAGTTACTCTTCCCTAGTGGGACCCAGAGTCCTGACCAGCCTCAGGTGCCTAGGTGGGACCTCCTAGCAGATGTCCACCAGGCGCCTTCCAGCTGGGCTCCCTCTCCTGGTGGCTGGTCTGACAGAGCTGAAGCTGGGAAGGGAGTGGAGCTGGCGACAGCCGTCAGGGCTGCGCTCTCAGCACACCTCCTCTCCACTCCTTGTGAAGCCAGTTCCCGTAAAACCAAAGTAGATCTTTCCCACCAAGAAGTTCAAACAACAGGGATCTCTTCCACAGTAAGCAAATGGCAGGCACTGTACCAAGCACGTCATCAAATGGCTCCCTACATCAACCTGCAAGGCGGTGGGCACTGACCCACGGTACAGGTTCATGAAACTAGGTAACTTGTCCAAGGTCACTAACTCTCACCACATGAAGCCGGGGCACCTGCTCAGGAAACTCGACTGCCACGCAGGGTATTTCCAGAAGCTGGTCATCTCATCAGCCAAGCAGAGTAGAGGCTCATGTTCTCATTCTTCTGTTTGCCTCTTTCCATTCTAACTTTTAATTAAACTTTAACCTTCCAAAGACCTGTCTTTCCCCTTAAGTAATGCACTGTAATTCCCACTACTACCAAACCCTTTCCACCCCCAAACTGCCACCCTAAGTTTATGGTCTGGAGCAGCCCTATGTGTCCCACTTGTGAAAGGAGTACAGATGTATTCTCTGGAAGATGTTTGAACACTCCCACACTCAAAATGCTTGGACATGCCCGGCCGGCGTGGCTCAGTGGTTGAGCGTCAACCTATGAACCAGGAAGTCACAGTTCAATTCCTAGTCAGGGCACATGCCAGCTGTGGGCTCAATCCCAGTGTGGGGCGTGCAGAAGGCAGCTGATCGATGATTCACTTTCATCACTGATGTTTCTATCCCTCTCTCCCTCTCCCTTCATCTCTGAAATCAATAAGAATATATTTTTTAAAAAATGCTTGGACCCTTCCCTGTATTTGGCGAACCTGCCTCATACAAGTGAATAATATCTTACATTTCTCAGGCTTTGTACCGTACTCCGGAATAATGAATGTATTCCACAATGCCCACTTTTCCTCATACTGTTCTGAAATAGACATGGCAAGTTAGCCATTCGACCTCAAGAGAGTAGGCTCTCCCATTTGCTTTTTTACTGTAAAATGGGGAAGCAAGCAAGCGATTACTGCTCGCTAAAGGCAACTCACTTTTCCTAGGAAATGCTCTGTGAAGCCTCCATGGATTAGACCCGCGTTCCCCCTCTCGTTTCCAGGGCTCCTACCACCAAATGTCCGGAACTGAAAGGCCCACCTGAAAAAATTAGGAACCAGTACGTTCCATAAACCCAACTGCCACCTACTTTGGTCAGTCATAAAATCGGCAAAATTCCAGATGAGCTCTCCAATCACATATTCTTTGCGTTTTTGATCCAGAACCAAATGATACTGCTCGAGCACACTTTTCTGGTACTCTTCACTGAACATCAGAGGTGGATCCTGGAATTCAAGGCAAAGAGAGAACTTAAGAATCGGAACTGGCAGAATTGTAAATGTCAGATAAAAATAAAGATCCATGTGATGATGACCAAAATATCTGTCCTCAGGGTGGGCCGCTGGTGGTGTAGACAGCCAGGGTATGATGAGCCCAGAGTAAAAAGAGATTTAAAAAAAAACACACACAAACAACCCTTAATCAGTAACCACTTTATTTATCAACAGGATTTGATACTTGCTTTATCTTTTCCATCTCTATTCACCAGCTGAACTACACTGGAAGTAAAAATGTCTTTGACTAATTTAGTAAAAGGCGAAAGATTTATGGGATCTGAAGAGAAACCAGAGCATCTTTGACTAATTTAAAGCTCAAATCTTCAGCAGCTGCATTGTATAATTTGAGAACTAGTGTGACTCACTCAGGTTTACTCACCTCAGACTCACCTTTATCTCGTCTGGGTAAGTAGCCGCTGTTTAGCACATTCATCCGTTCAACAAATAATCATTTAGTATCTGCTTATATGGCAGGCATTGGAGATAAAGTGATAAGCAAGAAAGATAAGCGGCCTCGCCCTCACAGGCTTTCCAACCCAGCAAGAAAGACACAGGGAAACGTAAGGAGGTGAGCGAGCGGGGAGAGCAAAGGAGCTGGGGATGTTTGGCTGAAGGAGCTCATGGACTCAGGGGCCACAGAGAGCTCCCTGAGGAACACTGAAGCCAAGACCTGCCAGGTGAGGAGAAGGCCACGTCCACAGACCCACCCAACCTTGGTGAAGAGCTCCTGTGTG